ATCAGATTCACTTATGTCTTTCCTGTACCTTCAAGAAAATCAGCAAAACTCTGTGCCTCAGTTTCTCTATTTGTAAGATGGTGATAATGACTAGTATTGATTTAGGGAATTACCAAACATTTGGTTTCCAGGTATATCCAGCCAAAATTATGGTGATTGTCTACTGAGCTCTAGGACACTCCCATTTTTTCCTCAATAACTTCAGTGGCTGGCTCACAGTCTCTCCTCCCCAATCTTCCCTCACAGTAGGGTACTTCAGCAGACCTATTGAAATGCCATCAAGCACCCTGACCTTACAGTTCCCTAACTTATTCATTTCACTCTTCCATCCTACCTCAGCTACATGCAAAGATGGTCATAACCCTTGACCTTCCTATCTATGTTCATGAACTCTGAAATTCCCTTATCTGGTCATAACCTGTAGTCATTCCCCTTCTCCCTATGCTTGCAAACCCTGTTTTCATCCTCACTATGACCTCCAGTCCCTTGACTTCTCAATTCTTTTCCATTCCTGAATACTCTTCTGTTTTTTCCCCGTCTTGACCTCTTGGTGAACCAGTTCAAATTTCCACTGTCCTCTTCTCTCAAGTCCTTGGTCCCTTGCCCTGTTGCTGATCTTGCCCTGCCAAGGCTGAGGCTTGGATTATTCTCACAGTTTACTGCCTTTGCTCCTACTCTTGTGCTAAGAAAATCATGAAACTGTGTTGACTACAGTTCTCTTGACTTAGAGCTTTATGATACGTAATCTCAACAGGGCTCTAACTGAAGCAAGGCAATCTTGAGAAGGCCATCTATAATTGATGCCTCCAACTTCCTTTCCTCTCATTCCTTTCATAACTTTCTACAGTCTAGATTCTGACTCTATCGTTCAGCAGAAACTTTTTTCTTCCAAAGTTACGAATGATCTCTTGATGTCGAATCTAAAGACGTTTTTTTTAAACCTCATTGTTTTTGCCTTCTCTAAAGCCTTTGACACTGTTGTTCACCCTCTTCAACTTGATCCTGACAATAGATTTCTGTGGCACCTTTATCCTTGTTCTTCTCCTGTCTGTCAAATCATTTCTCAGTTTTCTTTGTGTATTTTCATCCAGGTCATGCCCACTAATGCAAATGTCCCCCAAGGCTGTATCCTGAGCCCTCTTCATTTCTTCTTCTATACTGTTTCTCTTGGTGATCTTGTCAGCTTGTGTGGGTTGAATTATCATCTCCATGCTGATGATTCCCAGATTTACTCATCCAGCCTTAACTTCTTTCCTAACCTTCAGGCTTACATTACCAACTGTTTACTGGACATCTCAAACTGCATATTTGGTGGAAAACTTTAATTTAGCATGTCCAAAAGGAACTCGTTAACTTTTCCCTTGAAAGCCTCCTCCTCTTCCAGACTTCTTTATTATAGTTGAAGATGCTACTACCATCCTACTCACTCAGGTTCACAACCTATGTATGATCTTTGAATCCTCAGTTTCTCTCACTCCCCTCCACACCATATCCAATTTATTTTTGAAATCTGTTGACTTTACTTTTATAACATCTCACCGACATGCCCCCTTTTCTCCTCTGATGCTGAAGCCACCATGCCACTGTTCTGGTCCCATCCCTCATCATCTCATGCCTGGATTACTGTAATAGCCTGCCAGTGATTTCCTTGCCTCAAATCTCTCCCATTTCAGTTCATCCTCCCCTTAGCTGTCAAATTAATTTTCCTACAGTGCAAGTCTGACTGTCACTTACCTATTCAAGAAATTCCAGTGGTTCCCTACCACATTAAATATGAAATCTTGTGGCATCCAAAACCCTTCTCAGCCGGGCCCCTTTCTACCTTTCCAGTTTTCTTACAGCTTACTCCCCACCATTTACTCAGTGATCTAGTGACACCTGCTGTTTCTGGAACATTTATGATTGTACATTTTCATCTCCCTCTTCCCTTGCCCTGCCAATGCTCTTCCTTCTCATCTCTACTTACTGGCTTCCCTGGCTTCCTTCAAGGTCCAGCTAAAATCCCATCTTCTACAGGAAGCCTTTTCCAGTTCCCCTTAATACTAGTGCTTTCCCCTGTGTCAATTATCTAGTTTTCTCCATATATAGTATTTGTACATAGTTGTTTGCATCTTATCTCCCCCATTATATTGTGAGCTCCTTGAGGTCAACGATTGTTTTTGCCTTTTTTTGTCTTCCTAGTGCTTAGAACAGTACCTTATACATAGTAGGTCTTTAATAAATCCTTATTGACTAACTCCCTGACTTTAGAAAGCTCCTGAAAAGTTAGATTATTTGGTAAAATAAGGAAATGTATAGAGTCTTTTGTAATTCTTAAAACAATTACATTTGTATGAAGCAGCTTTGATTGAAAAATAGTATCTTGTATGTTCTAAACCATAGTCTTCCAAACTTCAGTGAAATAGTCCTGATTAAAAAGGAATGTTAAGAGAGGAAGCTTCTCTCTTCTCTCATATCTCCCAGGTGCAAAGCACATATATAGAAAGAAACTATAAAGGCATTTGGATTTTAGAAACTTGAGAAATATATTTTTATTTGTAGTGCTATCTGCAATAGGCAGTGTTAGACTTTACACTGAATAGTTTTTCTGTAGAGAATCTCCAATGAAGATTCTAAATACTGTTAATTATATAAATGTTTTTATTATAGAAATTTATGTGATTGACTTTAAAAAACCCACAAATTTACCAGAACTTATACATCTAGATGAGTGTTGTTTCTGTCAAAGCGGTCACTAGGAGAGACCCTACATTTATTCCCACTATTGTGCAAAGGGTTTGGGAATTGCCTTTAGTGGTAGTCTTTCAAAGAATCAGAGCTGAAGCAAATTTTTATCCATTGAAAGTAGATTTGTTTGCTGTTTTTGAAAACAGCCAACAGTCCTTTAAGAGCCCAGGCCATTGAGCAAAGTGGAGATATGTGGCAGATCTTGTACCTCCAGTTACTTTTTAGACATGTTGAACTGGATGTCCAGTAGACATCTTAAACTCAACATGTCCAAAACAGAACTCATTATCTTTCCTCTAAAACTCTCTACTCCCCACCCCACCCCTTCCAAATTTTTCTGTTACTGTAAGACAACAGCATTTTCTCAATCCCCCAGACTCACAATGTAGGAATCGTCCTCAACTCTCTCTCATCCCTCCCCCCCCATATCCAATTTTTTGCTAAATTCTGACATTTTATCATTATAGTATCTTTTCTATTTGTCCCCTTCTCTCTGACACTGCCACCACTCTGGTACTGGCCCTCACCACCTCATGCTTGGACTATCACCATTGCTTGGTGGAGGGCCTGTCTGCCTCAAGTCTCTCTCCAAGTCCAGGCCATCCTCCATTCAGCCACCAAAGTGATTTTCCTAAACACAGGTCTAACCACATCACACACACCTCCCTCCCCCCAACCCAATATTAATCCTTAAAAATTAAAAATCCTTCATAGCCTAGCCCCCTCCTTCTTTTCCAGTCTTCTTACACCTTACCCTCCACCTCGTACTCTTCGGCCTAGTGGTATTAGCCTTTTTACTGTTCCACAAACAAGACACTCTAACTCTTGACTCCAAGCATTTTCTTTGGTTTCCCCCATGCCTGGAATGCTCTCCCATCTGTGTCTGGCTACTGTCTTCCCTGCCTTCCTTTAAGCCCTATCTAAAATTCCATCTTCTTCAAGAAGCTTTTCCCAGCTTCTCTTAATTCTAGTGCCTTTCCTCTGTTAATTATTTCCTATCTTTCCTATCTGTATCTTGTTTGTACATATTTTTTTTACTCATTATCTTCCCTATTAGCTTGTGAGCTTCTTGAGAGCAGGGACTGTCTTTGGCGTCTTTTTATATCCCCAGTTAGATCCATGCTTGGCATATAGTAGGTGCTTTTTGTTGTTGTTTGGTTTTTTCAGTCATGTCTGACTCTTCGTGATTCCATTTGGGATTTTCTTGGCAAAGATACTGAGGTGGTTCGCTGTTTCCTTCTCCAGCTCATTTTACCGATGAGGAAACTGAGGCAAACTGAGTTAAGTAACTTGCCCAGGGTCACACAGGTAGTAGGGCAGATTTGAACTCAGGGAGATGAATCTTCCCCACTCAACTAGCCAGGAATTCAAGACCTAGAATAGTTCTAGGGGAAAAACAATCTTTATCCACTTATCACTTAGCTGCCTAGGTTCTTAGTAAAATAAATGTTTCTTGATTGACTGATTAACATCTCTGTAGTTAGATTGGAAAGCCTGTAGCTCCCTTAAAAATCAGTGGGCATCGGTGAAAAATCATAGCTCATAAAAAAGATGATGAAATGCTTTTGAAAGCTATCAGTGCACAAAACAATATCAAACATAGGTTTGAAATATCTCACTTTGGGTCAATGATAAATATCACTATAAAGTAATAAGTTTTTTTCTCACGTAGCTTATAAATAAACTTGAAAAATAATTGCCAGATTTCTCAATTTACCATTTGAGAAATGTTGCAAGCAATAGCAGCATTATTGATTATAGATAGCCAGGTTGTAGATAGAGCAACAGATGTGGAATCAGGAAGTCAGGAAGACCCAAGTTCAAATCCAGCCTCAGATACTTACTAGCTGTGTGACCCTGGGCATGCCATTTAACCTCCACCTGTCTCATTTTTCTCATCTGTAAAATGTGGATAATAATTGAACTTATCTCACAGGGCTGTTATAAGGATCAAATAAGAAAATAATTAAAGTGCTTAGCACAGTGCCTGGCACGTAGTAAGTATATACACATATGTGTTAGCTGTATACTCTCTCAAGGTGATTATTCTTAAGGGGACAGCACACATATGAATGTATAAATTCAAGCCTGTTTAAAAGGCAATCTCATTATTTTTCAGTCACACCTCTTGACCCCAGGTGCATTCTGCTCTGTTTAATACAGGCTTGTGGTTTTGTATAATGTTTCTCTTTGAGCCAGTGATGACTGTTTCTTTCATTATTTTTCCTGTGGGTTGTTGTTAATGACTGATCTGCTTCTTTTGAAATTGCTAGATATATTGATGCTGCCAACGCTTTGGAACAAGAAACCGAACAAGGCTTACAGCGCTTTGAAGTTTGTGATAATGTTGATCTTGAAACTATTTTGATGGAATATGAGAGTTATTATTTTGTAAAATTCCAGAAATACCCTAAAATTGTCAGAAAGGCAATTGAAACTGGTATGTGGCAATATATGTATATATGTATGTATATGAAATAAGACTTTTAACTCAGTGTTTTGTTTGCATCTTGCTCCCCAATAAAGATGATGCTCACTATCCAACATTAAGATAACGTATTAGAAAGACCAACTAGTGCCTTTCCCCTTGATTCAAACTCTAAAATATGGTGCAAATTAAATGTAATAGTCTGAACTTTTTTGTATGCCTCTGCCAGGCACCTTGCTGTCAGAGTCATTTTTGAGCTGAAAGATCAGAATCTCAGTTTGTCATAAGAAGTTCTTAAGAGAACGAGCACATTTTTTCTGCATGGCTGTGGGGTGTATAGAGAGAGCAGTGGACTCAAAGTCAGGACACCTGGGTTCTGTTCATGGTGCTGACACTAGTTGGGTGACCCAGGAAAGGTCACTTTGCTTGTCGGTCTTCATTTTTTTATTGATCAAATGGAGATAACCATACTCCACTACCTTCTTCATAAGGTTGCCATTGAAGAAAACTCTTTGTAAACATTAATATGCTCTATAAATGTGAGCTATTGTTCTTTCTTTCTATTAAAGATAGAAAGACATGTTTTATAAAGGGCTTATATGACAAGAGATCTTTCCAGTTAGATAGGAAAACCTATTAGCTGCCTTGAAAGTCACAGGGAAATGGACATTGGTGAAGCTAATAGCTCATGTATAGATAATGAAATGCTCTCGAAAGCTATCAATTCAAATAATAATCAATATAATACATAGGTCCAGTATAGGTTAGCAGTAAATAGAGGCTGGTTGAGGGAGTATCTAAAGTCAGGACCCTGTGTTTTGTAGTAATAAATTGACTCTTAAAAGCCCATAAGTGGAGGAAGTAATTATAAATCAAGGAAGATCGTTGTCCTCTTTACAAGGGGACATTGACCATTTAATTCAGGGACCAGAAAACTAGAAGGACTAGGAGCTCTGAACAGCTGAGCCCAAGAATCCCCAAATTATAGAATCTTGAAGTTAGAAGGACCCCTATAGGTTATCTAATTAAGTTATCCCCACAGCACAAAAATCAAAATGTTACTTTTCTGTCCAGAAATCGGATAAAAAACTGTGATGAGTCCTAATCTCTAGATCATCAGGGGAGTAATATAAGATGTGGGTTCTTGGCCACTAGTTTCAGTATAGCACTTGGCATCCACATTATTCTCCTGTGATTTCCAACATCAGTGTTTTTGCTTCTTTTGGGGTAAAACTGCCCAGCATTATAAATGTCATGAAATATCTGACAAGGTTCATGTCAACTTTATGAAATGAAGCTGGTCCAGAGCCCTCACAATCCCAAGGTATCATATCCAATGGTCTTGGTGCCTCTCACACAGGAGGCTACAGGGCTCAGCTTTCCTCAGAGTAGGGGGTAATTCATTTTTCACATATCATTGGCCAAGAATGGCACGAATCGGGATTTCAGTAGGGTTTACAGTCCAGGCACAGATTTCTTAAAAGGAGGGACAGATGTCAGAATTACTTTTTCCTTTGTTTGGAATTCGGTCAAACCTTTTTGTTTCTTCTTTCAATATTTACTTTCTTGCAGAAGAAAACAAGATACCACGAAGTGGAAAGTCCAGAAGGTAAAGTGAATGGAATTAACTATTTCTGAATATCTCCTTACAGCTGTCCTGGAGGCATTATGGTTGGGGCAAAACATTCATTCCTATTCATCCAATGGGAGGTGCTTCTGGATTGAGAATCCCATGACCTGTCTAGGAATGGTTATTGACTATAAGCAGCTATACATTGGCACATGAGCTTGACAGGCAGTAGACTTCTCCCCTGAACTCGATCCCATCCTACTATAAGATCAGGAATCAGTTTGACAACAAGAGAATATCATTGAGGATCTTTGTCCAGTAACATCTGTATAACTCCATTAAGCCTTGAAGCTTTGTCTGACTTCTAGTAGGTCAGTACGACAGTATTTTCTTCAAGCATTTCATAGCAGTACTGCTCAAAAAGGGACCACCAGTATGACAGCTGGTATGTCACAATAAGCCAGGCTTTCCCTAAAGTTCTGGTTTCCATTACTCCTTTGCATACACTATTACTACAGTGGATCTGTGCGCATTCCCTGCATTGCATTCCTTCTGACTTCTCCCCTCTCTTTCCCCATTTTATGTCCTTAACCTGGCCTATCCCATCCCACAGCAAAACTCCACTCTGGATTTGTGGCATCTTATGTGAGTTCCTCTATGATTTCTCTTTTCTTTTTATGATTATAAATAAATTTGCCTTTTTTTTTTTAACAAAGTCTGTCCTGTACCACCAGCTTCATCCTTCCCTCTTTGCCTAATTCCCTCCACTCATCCCTCCTTCCAGTTTTCTTCAGTAATTCTGTGTTTTTCCTCTGCCTTCCCCTGTGCCCTGGCCAGATTAGGGTTAAAAAAAAAAAAGATCTCGAGGAACCACTTCCCTAAAGAGATAGGGTGGCTTTTTAGCATCAGGCTTGGATTTTTATAGATCTGAGTATGCCAGAGAATAGCTTCTTTGGTTAGGGAAGTTTGAGTATTCCTTTTGCTATTAAAAGGTTTAAACTTCATTGGAAGGAAAAGTTTGAACACCTGCAGAGGCCACACCATTTTGTAAACTGAATGAAAAAAGTGTATAGAGTATGTCCTAGTGATCTTGTCAGTGAGGTGGTTGGCATAGCTTATGTGGATAAACAACTTGTTAAAAGTTTCAGGAATAAATATTCTAATTCTATGACCTTGTATGGGTTACATTCCCCTCATCTGTTACCTCTAAAAGGAGACTAGCCTGAGTGTGCTACAGCCACCTCACAGGCTTGTTTGGAGCAGCTAATAAAAACGATTGGAGAGGAGCTCGTGCATGTTGGGAAGTGAGATTGAAATGCTTCATGTTAATACGCTGCCTAAGGCTAGTGCAGTTTCACACCATTCTTTAGGAGCGGTTTTATTGTTTTGACAAAAGTGTTATTCTTTTATTTATAGTTTCCATAAAACTAGTCAGACTATAGTAATAAATGGTAACTACTTGTGAGAAGAAACAGCGAGGGGGCATTTTAAAAGGCAGGGCTTTGGAACACATGCGAATTCTGATGATTTACCACCCAAATTCATGCGCAGAACTTCCTTCAGCATTTCTTACCCCGGCAAGAAGTTCTGTTATTGAGTGAGTTGGGTTTTTAGAGTTCATTGGTTCTTTGTAGTAGCAAAAGCCTGGTGGATGATTGGACAGCTTGGGAATGCTTCAACCCCAGTTTGTGTGGAGATGTTTGTGTGTGTATGTATATACAGGGATATATAGATATCGACATATAATAAAGGCTAGATAGGAGATGTGTGTGTATGAGATCTTATATACATACGTATATACATATACATGTATACGTACGTGTGTGTTTATGAGATAAAGGTCAGGAACCAACTCAGAGTTTAGAAATAGCATTTTGTGTTTATAAAGTGCTTTCTACATATGATGTCATTTGATCTTCACAACAACTCTCTGAGGTAGGTAGTGCAAGTACCCCATTTAAATGATCCCATTTAACAGATGAAGAAATTGGGATTTGGAGAAGGGAAGGAACTTCCCCAAAGTCACATCTAACAAGTGGCAGCTCTGGCACTCGAACCCAGGTCTTTTGACTGCTCTTCAGTGATCTGGATAAAGGATGATTAAAACTGGGAAGAACAGATAGGAAATTAATGAATTATGTTCCCATTAAGCTTCTGTTGCTAGAGAGAATTATTTAAGAGTCTGTGCCTTTATTTCTGTCATTAGTAAATTAGTACTCATGCATGATTAATGCTTTTTGTATTTCACATCAGGGAAGAGAACCCAGTAAGCATTTGCTTATGAAGGGCTGTCATCGAGACTGGAAACTTTTCTTAATTAATTGTTTAAGAAATTAATTAATTCTTAAACATCCCCTGAATTTATTCTTTGTTTTTCCTTTTTGAGCTAGTCCAAATTTGAATGTTAGCTAAAACATGTATCTATATTTATGTTCATATATATATATTCTAGAATTCTAGAAGAATATATATGTATATTTATGTATACACTCATTATGCACATTCTAGCTAAAGTTCAAACTTAGACTACATGTATATGTATTCTGGACTATATAACTATTCTAGAATTCTATGTTTATATATACACACACACACATATGTATATATACACACACACACATATATGTGTATACGCACACACACACACATATATATATACAGAGAGAGAGAAAGTCTAGAATTCTAGAGGATCGTGTATGTATGTGTGTGTGTGTGTGTGTGTGTGTGCTTGCTAAAGATCAAACTTGACCTAGCTCAGAATTCTAGAAGAATATATGTGTGTGTATATATGTATGTATATATGTTTGTGTGTATGTATACATATGTGTATATATGCATAAACATATACACATACATATATACATATACATACATGTGTATATATGTACGTATATATGGTTGTGTGTATGTATACATGTGTGTATATATGCATAAATATATACACATACATATATACATATATACACACATGTGTGTTTATGTATATATATGTGTGCTTGTTCTAGCTAACAGCTAGGTGGCACAGGGGATAGAGTGCTGGGCCTGAAATCAGGAAATCTCATCTTCCTGAGTTCAAATCTGGCCGCTGACACTTACTAGCTGTGTGACCCTGGGCAAGCCATTTAACCCTGTTTGCCTCAGTTTCCTCATCTGTAAAATGTGGAAAAGGAAATGGCAAACCACTCCAGTATCTTTGCCAAGAAAACTCCAAATGGGGTCATGAAAAGTTAGACACATGCTAAAGATCAAACATGGACTAGTTCAGAAAAGAAGAAAAAGAATAAATTCAAGGGATGTTTAAGAATATTTATATGTATGTACATATATATGTATATATTCCTCCCTTCAAAATTGCTTCTTAAAATAATAAAGCTTTTTAAAATCTCCAAATTGCTTGTGCCTAGGTAAAATAATAGGGAGAGCAAGTTTGGGGAGCTAGAGCCTGGGTTACAATTCCTTAACTTCTTTGATGATCTCCAAGCAACTGCTTCATCTATCTTCTTTATGCTTCCTTTTCTTCCTTTGTCAAATGGATACAGAAATCCCCATCTCCTGTCAATTTCCTAGGGATCTTGAGATAAAGACAGTGGTGTAAATGAAACTCTTTTTATGTCGACGATAGTCAATCAACAAGCATTTATTATTGAGCGCTGTGGGGGGGCGGGTAGGGAGGTGGAGAGATGACCAGGCAAGGCCGCCTGCAGAAGGTGAGATTTGAGTAGAGTTTTGGAGGAAGCCAGTAAGCATGGGGGGGAGATGAGAGCATTACAGGCATTAAGGACAGCCAGGGAAAAGGCCCAGAGTTGGGAGTTGGGAGTAAAGTAGGAAGGCCTGTAAGGTGTACATTACATTCTGCAAGGTGTCTTTAATTCTTATAGGACTTCCATAGATATTTCATGTTGTCAGTAGCATTTATTAAGTACTCACCAGGCACCGTGCTAGGTGCAGGAGATACAAAGATATATGAAATAGACTTTGCCCTTCAAGAGATTATATTCCATTTGGGAAAACATGTACATCCTCACAAAGGCATAGAGAGGTATGTAGAATGCAAATTGTTTCATCATTTAAATAAGATAAAAGTGAGGCAGAGAAAAGTTGCCTCTATCTGTTCACCACAGATTAGATAGTTCTTGGTGGGGCTTGCAAGAAAACCCAGGTATCTGGGTTTCAGCCTGTTGCATTTTCCACAAAATGAGAGTGGCAGTATATATGTTTTATACTCTATTATTGACATGGGCTCTCTCATTGGGGCTATAATATAAAATATAAATATACAAACTGACTTTTCAATTCCCATGAGAAAAATTAAGTAAAAAATACAATTAAGTGTCATCAGTTCATGTGTGAGGGGAAAATTCTAGTGAACACTTTGCACTTAAGTTGTGTATTTAAGAACAGTGCACCAGAGAAGACTGAACCATGACTTGTAACTTCAGGGTTTCTTGATCTTCCCCATTTACTATATGACCCTAATCATCATTTGCTTTTCTGTGTATAAATACTTTGTCCATAAAATGGATATAGTAATATATTGAGCTCACTTCCACCTCACAGAGATATTCTGAGGAATAACTAGTAAGAATTATTTTTCAATCTTTTGTAAACATAAATTCTAAGTAATCATTGAATTAAGTTTTAAGTTATTTTTGTTCAGCAAATGCTTTTGAGTATTTAGTGTCGGTGGCAATATTGATTGTTGGCCTTCATTCTCGATGAGGACCAAAATGACAGCATTGTGTTGGGGTGAAAATACAATGTGGCCAATCAGACTAATAAAAGCTTGGAAGGCTCTACCACAAGTCAGGCACAGAGGGAGTAGGACACAAAAATAAGTAAAAAGCCCACAATTCCTGTCTTTAGGGAGTCTCTACTTAAATGAAGAGGCAACAGGAACTTAATGCTACTTAGAACAAGGTGCCACCTGATTAAACCATATATAAGGGTTGAGGGAAGGTGGAAGACAAGAATGATCATAGGATGAGCCAGGGAGGGCAGCTTTCAGGAGGTGGGTTTTGAGTCAGGTTGGAAGAACATGAGTTGGCAGAGAAGAAGGTCAAAGAGCATGAGCAGGAGGCAGAAGTGTGCATGAAGGACTTTCTTAAAATATGTGACTCTCCTCAGGTATGCTATACTTCCTGGTTGCTTGTTTGCTGCAAATTAAGTAGTTAAAATAATTTCCTTCAAGGTTTTTTGTACCATAGGGTGGTGAGTGATGCTTCTCAGAATCTTCCTAGGATCCCTCAGCATTGGTCACAGTCAAAGAAGACATCAGGGAAGATATTGGAGCCCAAGCCCCCCAACCAGGATAAACAGGTTAAAACTCTGAACAGGTTAAAATAAAACTGCCTGAGCTTGTTTGCTGAATGGTCCTCATCAGTCTTTCATGCTAAGATATTTTTTTTTTGTTTTGGGAATCAAGTTGATTCTCTCCCAGTGCGTGGTGAGAGGAAATCATTGTTTAACTCTCTTAGATTTCTCACGTGACTTTTTGGTGGAATTTGGTGGAATTACTTATCCTTTAAACATGGGCACTAGACCCAAAACACTTAATGAGGTCTGTGGCCTTAGTCAGAGCAGGGAGAAACCAGGCAAGGCCTCCCAACCTGCAGTGATCCTACGGATGTTCCACTTCCCTTCTAAGGGTTTCTCTGAGCCCAATTTCAAAAATACAGACTAGAGACAGGCAAGATGATGAAATGCACACACACACACACACACACACACACACACACACACACAGAGTGCACTGGCTTTAGAATCATGAAGACCTGGTTTCAAATCCTGCCTCTGAGACATGATGACTGTGTGACTGTGGACAAGTCACTTAATCTCTCAGGCAACTCTTTTAAGACTAAATTTTCAGAGCAAGTGCTAGTTTACACTGGTAGAGGGAGTTTTCTCACAAGGACTTCCTTATACCAATGAAATCACACACACAAAATTTTTTTTTAAATGCAGGTTGCTGTGAATTGAAGGATTAGGGGAAGTTGATCATGATAAAAATGTACCTCCTCTTATCTTTATTCCTGCAATCCAAGGGGCAAATAGGACTGAATAAGTACAGAGAAGCCATGCTAGGCATTTAGGGGAAACCATAAAATGGAAAATGAAAGTAGAAGGCCAAGAAAAAGGATCAAAAGAAATATTTTGAAGGAAGACTAGTGGGATGCAAAGGCACATGACCATGGTAATTATTGGTTAGCCAGGAGAATCTTTTCAACATCTAATCAGATCCGGTAGGTTGGCTTATGAATGATTACCTTAGGTAATTACAATGTGATGCTAAAGAGGCCAAGGTGATGGGTAAAGGGATAGCTTAGTTAGCTCTGTACAACGTGTTCTGTTGATAGGGATATGCCTTTTGGATGGTTGGTTAGTAACATTGCTTGGGTATATGAAAGATAGTGTTTTGTGTTACACAGAGAATGATGTTCCACTCGGTTGGAATTATGTACAAAACTACAAAAACACTGAGGGAATTCCCCCATTCACAAGACCAACATAATTATATTTAATTTTTGAAGGTTATTTTTTCCCATAGTGTGTTCCTATAAGAACACTCAATGAATTAGTTCAGTGCTATCAACAGAGAAAATGTGACCATTATTTACTCATTCACCAAAAATTACCTGCCTACTGCGTGCAGAGCACTGTGCCAGGTCCATAGTCTCTGTCCTCATAGAATTTATAACCTAGTTGTAGGATAAGACACAACACCACAGGATAAGTGCAGCATATGCAGGTGCTGTGTACAACTGGCCAGTGTTCAAAGCTGAATTTTTATCCCTGCAACTGTTTTCTTCCTTCCTCAGGATACTGACCATACAGCTTTCTATGAGACTCCTGACTTTGGTTTAAATATATCAGGAATCAACAAAGGCATTGGAGGTGAAAATGCCCACCCAAGAAGGGTGAGTTGAACACTGGAATACTCATCATTGGAAATGGGAAGATTTATTCTTTTTATTTTTTTTATTAACTTATTTTTAGTTTTCAACATTAAGATTTCTTATAAGACTTTGAAATAAATAGGATACCTTTTCCAATTGTAGTGCCGGTCTCTTATAATATGAGGTTGTAACTATCAGTAGGACTGTCACATGTTACTTAAATAGTATTTTATTTATTCACTGGTCAATAGTGGCTTGCTAATGTTGTCACTTGTTATCTTTGACATTGAAATCTAAATTTACAATGGAAGGGGAAAATGTTGATGGTTTTTTAATCTTGCCCTTGGTAGAAATTTCTTCCCTTATTGGGTTTACCACTTGTCCCGATTCTTAATTGATAGACAGTGTCTCAAGCAGAAGAGACTCAAATTGGACAGATGTTGAGAGAAGAGAGCTTAATTCATAAAGTGTGGGTGATCATCTACGTTTTCTAAGTAGCAGCAAAGTTAAAATGTTCCTGCAAAGAATGAGCTCCAGGATTATATTTCCTTCAGAGTCCCTTTTCTATCATTATTATTATTATTACTATTATTATTTTGGTTTAACCCAGCCCGACTCTCACTTATGCAATTTCTGATGCATCTAGCCCTAACCAGCCAAACTGAAATAAGGGTGGAGAATGCAGTTCCTCTTAGATAATTGAAGCAAAAAAACAAACATACAAACCCTTATGTGAATGAACTGGGTAGTTTAGAAAAACCGCCTTGATGTCTGCATAATTTGGATAGGAGACTAGAACTGAGATAATTAAGCATCTCTTGATTTAGCCTGTATTGATTAGTTCCTAACTCTTTTTCACCCTTCACCGCCAAATTGAGAGGAACTTTTACTGTTCAGGTCTCCTGGCTTCATTATGTACCCCAGCCAACTCAGCAGATTAGAGGTCCCCAGTGTTTTTTTTTTTTGTGGTAAGCTACTGTGTTTTTTACCAGAAGCGTTATGATTGACTCTAGGCAGGATGTTGGGAAGATGTGTGGAAAGGAAGATGCCAACCTAGACATTCACTCAGGTAGCCTTAGAAAAAGGAGCATACATCAGCAGTTTTCAGAATTACTCTCATTCCCTCTAGAAATGCTCTCAGGATCCTCATCTCGGGATACAGGGAGGAAAGTACGATACTAAATGTTACTCTCACCCTTCCCTCAGCCCATAGATACTTGAAATTGGAAAGCTAGGGCCATTTTGAATGCCAAAGGAGCAAAGCATTCACTCTTGCCCACTTCTCCATAGTGTATCAGGTATCCAAGAAGAAAAATGAAAGCAATATCGCTTGAAATAGTTCCTGCGCTAGAACATGGCTGACTTATTTGGAATCCTTGCTCTAGGCCATAAATGATTTTGTTTTGCTTTTACATCTAGAAGTAGAAAACTATGTCACCTTAATCACCCATTTAATAGTAGGTTTGTTCATTTTCTACACGCATAATTTTTTTTTCCAAAAAGCTTATCTCATGTAGAGAACGCACATTTTCAAAGCATAAGAATACTAGAAACGTATTATATGTTGTATAATATTGTTAGATTTGGCAGACAGAGTGTGGCAACAGGGATGTGATCATCCCTCTGAGTTTTTACTTATATCCAGTGAGACAAAACTGCATCTCTTTGATGACTTAGGACATTTTTATCCTATAGTTGAGTTTGCATGGTATAGTGGAATGGGCACTGACTTGCTCAGGGTCACACAGCTAGTGAGTGTTGTGTATCTGAGGCCGGATTTGAACACAGGTCTTCCTGACTCCGGGGCCAGTGCTCCATCCACTGTGCCACCTGGCTACTCCTTGCTATATTTCTTGTTTTAGAAATCTCGCCTTGAACGCTAAAAAAAATACATAAAAATCATTCCTGTAGCTTTAATAAAAGAGGGAAATAAACTTAGTGTTTAAGTCTAAAATTCAAGTGAAATATTTCAACACAGTAAATAACCATTGTTAACTTTCAGGGTCAAGTAATTGACTTATATGGGTTGATCACAGATGCTATCAAAGGAACAACCAATGAAATAACCTTAAACAGTTTTGACTATAATCCAGACCCTTCAGTAAGTGGCAGTTATGTTACATTTGTCTTTCAAAAGATCCCAAAATCCTAAATGAACTTCAGAAATCGAATCCTCAGAAATGCAATTAGAAACAGAGATCAGATCACAGGTCATTGTAACATTCTACCCCGTGTTCATGTATGCTGTTTTTCTTTTCCAAATTATGAAACAACATTTTAATGTAAGGCTTTTTGTTTCTATCTTCAGGTACGATTGCTAAAACCTCTTAGTGCATTTATTGGCATGAATAGTGAGATGAGAGAACTCGCAGCTGTTGTAAGCAGGGTAAGATCTGATATTCAGTTCACAAATTTATTGAGCCTGCTTGTGGCTACTGGAGCATGGAGGCGGTTTCTTTTATTAATAACAATAAATATGATCATTTATTTATAAAGTGCCCCCACTTGTGAAGATGCTCGTATTTAGAGGCACAATAATGCATGATAAATAAATTATGGAAGCATAAAATTACAATACAAAAAGCCCATCTAACTATAGAGACCAAGAAAATCAACTGAAGGACTTACTTATAAGGAAAGCGTAGGTGCAGCTAAGGTAAAAAAAAATACTATCTCCTCACCACCCCCATGCCTTGGCCAAAAAACAAAACCAAACCCAAAACCTTCTTTAGGTCTTACTTAGTCAGTTTCAGACAAAGGCAAAAGAATGTCAAAAAGATGATTTCATAATTTGAAATATTCAGGATTAACCAGAGCAGTATGAAGGAGATTTCACTGATGATGCCAACCAAAAGGACTTCCTATATTTGTGGATTACCGTATTAGAGTCTGGAGGCAGATAGCAGGAAGTGTTGCCTGAACCATCCTTTGTAAAGTAGATGAAGCCAGAGGGTAAATCAATGCTGACAGCAGGATACTAGAGCAGGAAGGGACCCTGGAGGTCATGCAGTTCAACCCGATGCTTGATGAATGGATCCCCACTCTAGCTGTAATGAGTGGTACCCAGTCTCTGCTTGGGGTAGTCCATCCGCTTTCCAGATAAGTACAAGTCATGTCCTATGCTTTCTTTTCTTTTATCTCTACATTTACTCACTGGTGATCTCATCAGCTCCCACAGCTTCAATTATCTCTACATTAATGATTTCCAGATCTTTGTATCCTTCCTCAGTCTCTCTCCAGAGCTGCAGTCCCACATCACTGACTGACTATCAGATATTTTGAACTGCATGTACCGTAGCTCAGATTCAACATGTCCAAAGCAGGACACATCTTTTCTCCCAAACCCACCCCTCTTCCTAATTTCCCTACTGTCTTTGAGGAAGCCATCACTTTCCCAGTCACCCAAGTTTGCAACATTGGTGTTGTCTTCATCTTTATATATCCAATCAGTTGCCAAATCTTGTTTTCCCTCCACAGTACCCCTTATATACATACTCTTTTCCCACCTCCGTGCCTTTGTACTGTTTGTTCCCATGACTGGAATGCTCTCCTTCTTTATCTGTACCTTTTAGAATCACTGGCTTCTTTCAAGACTCAACTCAGATCCCACTGCCTGCAGGAGACATTGGTCGCCCAGACTCTAATGCCTTCCCCTCTGAGATTATCATCTGCTCTTCATGTATCTTGTATGTACCTATAGCTATGTACAGCTAGGCCCTGATTAGCGCAAACAATGAATTCCCTGAAGAGGTCACCTGTGGTCAAATTCGAGCTATCTGAAGTTATAGTTAATGTAAAATATGCTAGTTGGTTCCAGCCCAGTGGAAATATGTGAATTCAAATAATGTGACCACTTCAAAGGATTTGTTATTTGCAATAAATCGGCTCTAACCCTCTCTAACCCCCCACGCCTAATAAAATTAAGCTCCCAGAGGGCAGGAGATATTTTTGCTTTATCTTTACATCTTCAGTGCTTAGCACATAGTAAGCACTTAATGCTTGTTGATTGATTGATGTTTGTAGCAGACTGTATCTGCTGGAAGGTGATATTTTGACTCTTCGTCTCACCAAGATGTGGAACCACTTTAGGTGACTTACATGCATGTATTGATGTGAAGAACAAGATAGATCCTTGAATTACAGACTTTCTTTCTAATTTCATGCTACCTCCTATAGTTAAATAAACAATAGAACGTAGACTTGTCTCAGAGAAAAGTCTAATACATCTTCCTGCCCCTTTACTCATAGAACATAGTAACAGAGCTGAAGGGATGTCAGAGACCATTAGGTGACCTCCTTCATTTTACAGATGAGGAAACTGAGGACCAAAATAGTTAAGTGACTTGTCCAGACCCAAGTGTCAGAGGCAGGATTTGAACCCCAAACTTCTGACTCCTGAATCTGAGCTTTCTTCCTTACACCATGTTCCAGTCCCCATTTCTGAAAATCATTCAGCTGTACCAGCTATTACATGGACTGACTTCATCAGAAGTGTGCCAGCAAAGGCTGGAATACTCCTTAGGCTAAGCTTTTATCGAAAGAAATCTGACATTAAAATCTGTAGCATTAGAAGTATGTGACTATTAGAAACAAGTGAATGTATTGTCCAATTAAAAAAAAACCGAGTCCTATCAATTGTAACTTTAAAAAAGTTTTTTAGTGTTTGTTTAATATCACTTACATTTCCCAGTCTGTCTGCCATTCCCACTCCCAGAGTGCTATCCCTAATAACAGAGAATTTTAAAAAGAGAAAAAATAATTCAGCAAACCTAACTAGTACTTTGAAAATGTGTGACATTATATGCAGTTTTCCACATCCATAGTCACCTACCTCTACATCAGAGATTCTCAAACTGATTTAGCCTACAGCCCCATTTTAAAAAAAATTACTCAATGTCCCCCTGGAAATCTGCTTTTTTTAACTCTTTAATGTTTTTTTAAAATTTGCATCATTTCAAAAAAATACAAAATTTAAAAAAAAGATGCATCTTAAATTTAATAATTTATTGTAAATTTGTGGTTTTCTCCTGCATTGAAATTTTGATGACACAATATTGCATCCTGTAACCATATAGTATCATATTGTAAACAAGTCTTTACATGCACATATTGCTGCTGATGCATGCTGGACTTCCTAACAATGTGCTACACGCTCACTCGCCGGCCAGCACACTTGCTTGTTGAGACCTGTCAGCAGACTTGACCACCAATTGGTTATAACTTGCATTTTATGTGTTTATTTGGAAAATAATGTAATCACTACTACTTTAATTCTGTTACACAGCAGATGAAACATGTACGAGTGGTTTTTCCAAATTTTCTTCTCATCTTTCCTTTTTCTTCCACCACCCCCTTATTTTTATTCAGCGCCCCCCAACTGCATCTGAGGCTAATACTGTGCCCCCCCTATCATTCCAGCATCCCCAAGGGGGCAATATCGCCCACTTTGGGAATCTATGAATAGAAGTCAGGAAAGAGTCTTCTCATCTTTGGATCCAAGCTTGGTCAGACACTCACTAGCTATATGAGCCTGGGCAAGTCACTTAATCTCTGCCTCACTTTCCTCATCTGTAAAATGGGGATAATAATAGCATTTACCTCCCAGGGTTATTGCAAGGACCAAATGAAATAATGATTGTGAAGCACTTAACACAGTGCCTGGCACATAGTAAGTCCTATATAAATATTAGCTATTATTATAACTATATAACATTTATTTTAGTTGTTTTGTTATTATTGTTTTTTCCATTTACATTATTTATGCATTGTATATATTGTTTTCCTAGTTCTGCTTACTTCACGTTGTATCAATTCATACGTATCTGTTTTACAAAAGGGACAACATGGACAAAACAATCATAGAGTGTAAGCTGGAAGCATCTTTAGAAGTCAACCAGTCCCTAAAGCAAGAATCCCATCTATACTGTTCCTAGAAAGTGATTATATGTTCAATCTCTACTTGAGAACTTCCAGTGCTAGGGATTTCACTACCTCCAAAAGCAACCCACTCTACCGCTGGACAGTTTTAATCATGAGAAATGTTCTCCCTATTCTGAGTTCACACTGTAAGAATATTGTCCATAACAATACCAACCTTGATTTCAGTTTTGAAAAAAAATCTTCAGGTGGAACATAGCTGCCCATCCCCAGAGGTATTTTGAAGACCAAGTAGATTTGCCATTCTCTGGATCTTTGTCTGTTGCCTTTTCTGCAAAGTAGGTCATAAAGTAGTGATTGGCAATCAAGGGAACATATAAAAAAAATTTTGAAAATCAAGTTGGTCACTAGACATGAAATTTAATCTTATTAAATACAGCTTTTAACTCTAATCTGTGGGGGAATCTGGATTTCATAATGTTTGTCACTTATGTCTTTGCTAGCATTCCTACTACACATTGGCAGGTCTCGTGACCTTTATGAAATGTCTTATTGAAAGAATAGTTCCGTGATTGTATCTTCCTTGGTGACATTGAATCATGTTAGAAAGAAAGCTTTTCTGATATAAAACACTTACAAATTCAGGTGGCCCAATGCAGGGAAAGACCCTGAGAGACATTTTTTATGCTTCTTGTGAAATTGAAGTTTATAAACTCTAAATTAGTTATCAGTAAAAGCCATCTTAATTGATTGCCCCAAATAGTTGCGAATGCATCTAAAAACCACAAGATTAAAGTCCCTATAAGAGAGAAACCTGCACTTTAGTTTTGTGGTTGACTTTTTTGAATTTGGTAAAAGCAATTGCTACGTGATAGAAAAAGGGAGCCATCACTGGGGATAAAAAGAAATTGCTTTCTAAATAGCATTACCTCTTTTTATGTAATGAATTAGGAAAGTGTTAGCAAGATCAAGGAGAAAAAAAGAGCCCAGTACTCCTTCAGTAACTCTGTTTCACAGTAAAAACTCATGTAATTTGAAGGCATATTCTGGAGCCTTTTTAATTATTGCCATAAATCAACTTTATTTGTTATTGACTGAAGGCTGGTGAAGTCCATCGTTACGAGAATTTTTCTAGAAGTATCTTGTCATCAATAGCTTCTCCAGGGAAAAGAACTGAACATTTTCATGGCCTCCCTTTGGGGAACTCACCAAAAATTCCACTATGTCCATGTATAATGTGAAAAATTTTTTATAACTAGCACTTTATGGCCTGTTATAAGTCAACTGTTGTTCTGCTTCTGTGTTTATTATTGTTGTAGAGAAAAACATTAATTTTAACCAAATGATCAAATGTGCATTGCAGGACATTTATCTCCAAAATCCCAACATAAAGTGGAGTGACATTATTGGACTTGATGCAGCCAAGCAGTTAGTCAAAGAGGCTGTTGTGTATCCTATAAGGGTAAGGACAAAAAGGCTTTAAAGTCTCCTCTTGGGAGTGATCCCTGCCCAGTATCCATTGGACAGATATATGGTAGAGTCACATGCAACAGGAAATGAAGTACAGGGTGTTTTGTCGTCCATGAATTAGTTTCTTAGCCGTATCATGCTGCTTTGCTCAGATTGGGGCAATCGAAAACCAAATCCATAATGTTAATGTCCATTTGGAAACCCTATCATATTGATGACCTAGTCTAAGATAATTGGCTGGGTGAAATAACTCCTTAAGATCATAGAGTCATAGGATCGTAGATTTAGGACTTAGGGATAATTGGATATATTCAATTATTCTTTGAATAGCATGTCTATTCAACTTCACATCAGTCTCCTAAAAATATACCTTTTATAGTGAAAATGCCTTCCTTTGAAAGAGCAAAGCTCATCCACATGCTTTATCCCATGTTATCCTCTTTGGACCGTATGTGAGGCAAATAGACTAAATGTTATTTATTATCCCCTTTTTATATGTGAATAAATTGAGAATCAGAAAGAGTTATAGGTTATTGAAAATGTTAGTGCTAGAAGGGCCGTTAGAGATCATTAAATATCTTTATAAAGGTAAGGAAACTGAGGCACAGAGCAATTACCAACACTGGAAGGATCACAAAGCTAAAGCCACCCACCTGGATATAGTTTATTTTTCTCAATCCCTTTGTCCCCTTCTTAAGATACTTACAATACCTTAAGATAAGGTACTATGTACCTGTTTTATTTCTTCTAACTGATTACAAGTTCCTTGAAGGTAGAGACTGTCTCATTCAGCTTTTTATTCCTCACAGCACCTACCTATCAGTCGATTAATAAATATTTATTAAATATTTATTAAATATTTACTATGTGCTAGTTACTGTACTAAGCACCACAGATTCAACAGAATGCAAAAGACAGTCCCCATTCTCAAGGAGCTCACAATCTAATGATAGTGTCTTGTACCAGGTAGCAAAATTTCAAATACTTGTTGAATTTTAATCAATCAATCCAAATAAAATCCCATTATGATACGCTAAAAGAAAAAAGGGGGGGATTTCTTCTTCCCTCTACCACTGTCTACATCTTGGTAGATTTATATGTGCCGGCCTCGGGCAATGAAGAACTTCTCTACTAAGACGTAGATAGAATTGCGATCTGCATTGGTGGGAGGCCTTCCCACACATGGGAGTTCTCTTCACTGATTAAGTCGCAGATCCTCTAAGTATTTATGTTATTTTGACGTGACATCTGAATTGCACTGGAAAACATATGTTGGAATTGTACAAACATCATAAAAGTATCAAGTTACTATTTCTAATTTGTAAAATTTTTCCCCACCTCACCTTCATGTCTGTTGGTCTGTGGGCCTGCACACCAAAAGTTCAGATTACTAAATCACAAGGATATCTGTTAATAGTGAAGATTCTTTGTTTTATCTCCTGCTGAATTTGTTACTGAATGTGATCCTTGCATGAAACATGCCACTTCAAAATGGTAGTGATGCATAGCTGCTTAATTCACATATTCTGTATTCATTAGTTCTGGTAATTCTTTTTATCTTTAAGCAGAAATATACTGGCAAAGAATTTCTATAAACTTCTATAGATTATAATTTTCTGTAAATTTCTCAACAGTAGTAAACACATAGAATTCAGGGCAAAATAATGACAAGCCTGTAAGAAATGCTGTGAAACGTGCAGCCAGACATAGTATCTACATACGCCTTTATTAAGAATAAATTTTTGAAAAATTCAAAGCCAGAAAATCAAGTTGGTCACCAGGCGTGAAATTTAATCCTATTCAATACACCTTATAACTCTATTCTTTGAGAGACCTGGATTTTATGTTTGTCACTCTTGTCTTTGCTAGCTTTCCTAGTACACATTGCTACAAAAGCATAATTGTCCCTGAATTTCTCTTGTTTCCATAGTATCCACAGCTGTTTACGGGGATTCTTTCCCCATGGAAAGGACTATTACTTTATGGCCCGCCAGGTAAATACACATTTTTATATCTTCTACTTTTGTTTCTGTGTTAACTGACTTATTCTTTTGTTGAGAGGGATGAGTTCATTTTGAAAGTGTTATATTCTACTTCTACCCATTGGAAAAGTTGCTATTGTAGGTTTCAGTCCAGCTCCCACCTCCAGATAGTATCTGGCTTCTGCATCTCTCTGTTTTATACACTTAAGAAAGTTCAATCTCATTCTTGTGTCTCTAGGTACTGGAAAGACTTTGTTGGCTAAAGCTGTGGCTACTGAATGCAAAACAACCTTCTTTAATATTTCTGCATCCACTATTGTCAGCAAGTGGAGAGGTGATTCAGAAAAACTTGTCCGGGTAGGAACTCTTGATTTTCTTTTCCATAAGTTCTTGTAGGGTAGAAGGAAGTGAGGAGGTGATTTCCCCTGGTTTCAAAGATGATGCATTTAGAAATTTTACTGTGGGGTTTTATTTTCCAAGAACACACAAAATAGAATGACTATCTTCACTTGGCCTTTGATCACACATCCTATCATAGTATCATTAACAACAGACAACCATCCCCTCTGGATTCTAGTTCCTTGGGGTAATTGAGACAGATGAAAGCATTTATACAGCACCTATGTGCGCATGATCTCATTTGGTCCTCACAATAACTTTAGCAGGTAGATGCTGTTAATTTTCTCCATTTTCAGCTGAGGAAATTGAGGCAACCAGCAGTTAAGTGACTTGCCCAGGGTCCCACAGCTACTAAGTGTCTGAGGAGGGATTTAAACTGGGGTCTTCTTGACTCCTCCAGACCCAGAGCTCTGTGCACTGTGGGACCATCTATTGCCCATTTTCTTTCTGTCCTTTTCCGGGCCATGGATTATTGTCCTTGACAGAGAAAATAGAAACAAAATGAGAATTAAACAATTCAGCTTTCCTTTTGTCTTTAGTTATTGTCTTCCCATGCACTCCACGCAGCAGCTTTCTTTCTTCTTTGATTCTCCAGCTTTAAACAAACGAAACAAAACAAAACAAAACATACGCCTTTTTAGTTAATTTCCTTTGTTTGGCATTTAAGGCCCTCTACCATCTGACTCAAAGATCCTGTGTCAGCTCTGTTTCACATTTTTGCCTTTCGTGTACTTTTATCTTCCACCTATATTGAAGTACGAGCTTATCTCCAAACTCAGCATCCCATCCATGATACGTAGTCTCTTCTCATCTTTTGCCTTTTAGAATCCTCATCTTCCTTTAAGGCTCAGCTCAGATGTCACCTCCTCCATGAAGCTTTTTAGAATTGCCCCCCTCAAATCACCTGGTACATATCATAACCCCTTAATAGAACACAGACTCTTTGATGACCTGCTCTGGATTATATTTGTCTCTATATCCCCAACACCTAACAGTAGAAGTAGATGCTTAATAAATATTTGTGGAATTATTATTGTTGATCCCCAGTTTCTTCACTTGCACAATGGTGATAACAATACCTGTTTTGCTTAATTTGTGGTTATAATATATTTGAAATCTCTAAAGGATATTGGGAGAGTCCCAAAGTTCTGTCCTCTCTCCTTTTCTTTTTATATACTTTTGTCTTGACACTTTAATTTCTTCCCATGACTTTAAATCTCATCTCTACACAGATGACTCCCCAAATTTTTGATAGACTTGATCTCCCTTTTATGCACCAAACCCACATCTTCCAACTGCTTCTCATTTGGTCCCTCAATCACAACACTTCCCAAAACTAACCTTGTTATCTTTCCCCTAAACCCTAGTCTCCTCTCCAACTTGTGGGCCAATTTTTTTTTTATTCTCAACTTAACAAACATCAAAGAAAATTAGTATTTCTATATACTTAATAAAACAGAAGAAGAATATTTGTATGTGCAACTGTGAATCTCTTTTTACAGTTTGCTTTTCTTTTAAAACTTATGATAGTGCATACCCTTTGATCCAGCAATACCACTACTAGGTCTGTATCCCAAAGAGATTAAAAATGAAGGGTAGGGCAAGGAGAGACCTATTTGTACAAAAATATTTATAGCAGCTCTTTTTGTGGTGGCAAAGAATTGGAAATTGAAGGGATACCCATCAATTGGGTAATGGCTGAACAAGTTGTGGTATGTGATTATGATAGAATATTACTGCACTATAAGAAATGATGAGCAGGCATATTCTATAAAAAACCTGGAAAGATTTATATGAACTGATGCAAAAAGTAAACAGAACCAGGAAAATATTGTACACAGTAACAGCAATACTGGATGATGATGATCAACTGGGAATGACTTAGCTATTCTCAGTAGTACAATGGTCCAATACAATTCCAAAAAACTCATGATGAAAAAAATGCTGTCCACCTCCAGAGAAAGAACTGATAGAGTCTGAATGCAAACCAAAGCATACCATATTTTATTTTCTGTATTTTTTAATGATTTTTTTTCCTTTGGGTCCGTGTCTTCTTTCCCAACATGACTAATTTGGTAATATGTTTTACATGATTGAACATGTATAACCTATATCAAATTTCTTACTGTCTCAGGGGAGAGAAAATTTGGAATTAAAAATTTTTTATAATGAACGTTACAAATTAACTTTATGTGTAACTGGGGAAAAATAAAATATTATTAAAATATAATAAATTCAACATGCAACTTTCAAAGCTATCCAGCTTATCTCCAATTCTTTTTGGCTTTCCTTTTTTTCTTCTTTTGTACAAAAAAAGGAATCCTTCAGTGAGTCACTTTTCTTTCTTTTTCTTTGGAAAACCCATCCCGATTTTCCTTCTCTCTCCCCTATGCTTTTTTTTTTTGCTATTTTATTTTTAACATGTGTTTTTAAAACTTTGGGTTACAAATTTTCTCTCTTTCTCCCTCCCCACCCACCCTCATTGAAAAGGCAAGCATCTTGATACAGGTTATAGATGTGTAGTCATGCAAAACACTTCCACAGTAGTCCTGTTGTGAATATTTCCCTTCATCCTATCCTACCCCCCATTTATTCCATACTCTCTTTTGACCCTGTCCCTCCTCAGAAGTGTTTGCTTTTGATTATCCCCTTCCTCAATCTGCCCTCCCCTCTATCGACCCCCTGCTCTCTTGTCCCCTTCCCCCCTTATTTTCCTGTAGGGTAAGATAAATTTCCATACCCCATTGTGTATGTTATTCCCTCCTTAAGCCAAATCCTATGGGAATAAGATTCACTCATTTCCTCTCACCTTCCCCCATTTCCCCTCCACTGTGAAAGCCTTTTCTTGTCTGTTTCATGTGAGATATTTTACCTCATTCTACTTCTCCCTTTCTCCTTCTCCCAGTATAATCTTCTCCCACCCCTTAATTTTATTTTCCAGATCTCACCCCTTCATCTTCAACTCACCCTGTTCCCTCTATCTATCTATTTAATCAAACATATAATTTTTTCCCTCCCACTACCCTAATACTGACAAAGGACTCATGAGTTACAAATATCATCTTTCCCTGCAGGAATGTAAACAGTTCAACCTTAAAAGTCTCTTATGATTTCTCTTTCCTGTTTACCTCTTCCATGTTTCACTTGAGTCTTGTATTTGAAGGTCAAATTTTCTATTCAGCTCTGGTCTTTTCCACAGGAATGCTTGAAAGTCCTCTATTTCATTGAATGACCATTTTTTACCCTGAAGGATTATACTCAGTTTTGCTGGGTAGGTGATTCTAGGTTGTAGTCCTAATTCCTTTGCCCTCTGGAATATCAAACTCCATGTCCTCCGGACCCTTAATGTAGAAGCTGCTAAATCTTGTGTTATCCTGATTGTGTTTCCACAATACTTGAATTGTTTCCTTCTGGCTGCCTGCAATATCTTCTCCTTGACCTGGGAATTCTGGAATTTGGCTACAACATTCCTAGGAGTTTTCCTCTGGGGATCTCTTTCAGGAGGTGATCAGTGGATTCTTTCAATTTCTGTTTTGCCCTCTGGTTCTAAAATATCAGGGCAGTTTTCCTTGATAATTTCTTGAAAGATGATGTGTAGGCTCTTTTTTTGATCATGGTTTTCAGATAGTCCAATAATTTTTAAGTTCTCTCTCCTGGATCTATTTTCCAGGTCAGTAGTTTTTCCAATGAGATATTTCACATTCTCTTCTATTTTTTCATTCCTTTGGATTAGTGTTACAGTGCCTTGATTTCTCAAATTGTCTCTAGTTTCCAATTTCTCCATTCTAATTTTTAAGGAAGTATTTTCTTCAGTAAACTTTTGGACTTCCTTTTCCATTTGACCAATTTTGCTTTTTAGGACGTTCTTCTCCTCATTGGCTTTTTGAACCTCTTTTGCCATTTGGGTTAGGCTATTTTTTAAGGTGTTATTTTCTTCAGTTTTTTGGGGGATCTCTTTTAGCATCACTCTCAGTTTTTCCTCTTCTTCTCTTACTTGCTTGTCAAAATTCTTTTTGAGCTCTTCCATGACCTGGGACCAATTCATATTTTTCTTGGAGGCTTTGAATGTAGGAGCTTTGGCTTCGTTGTCTTCTGGTTGTATGTTTTGATCTTCTTTGTCATCAAAGTAAGATAATATAGTCTGATTCTTTTTGCACTGCTTGCTCATGATCTCAGCCAATTACTTGAGTTGTAGACTCTTTGTTAAGGTAGGAGTCTGTTTCTAGTGTGGAAAATGTACTGTCCCAAGCTTCAGGGGTTTATGCAGCTGTGTTCAGATACTTCTAGGGACCTGTAAATTTTCAGTTCTTCCAAGGTGGTAAGATCAAGGGCAAGGTGTTTACTCTTTTCCTGGCCTGTGCTCTGGTCTATGAGCACTCTTTTCTGTCTTGGAACTGTGAGGAGGGTTTCCTCTCCACAGCCACTACAAGCCCCACCACGCCAGCGCAAGCCCCACCACGCCAGCGCTCCTCCTCGCCCTAGGACACCACCCAGAACTGTGACCCAGATCCAAGCACTGATAAAGCAAGAGATTCCTGCCTCAGCACTGGCAAAGAGATCCTTGTAATCCCCTTCTGATCAGCCACTCAATTCCCCCTCAGTCTGTGGGCCGGAAGCTCAGGAAGCAGCCACTGCCCCAAGGACTGGGGCTCGGACCCCGCGCTCCTCTCTTACCACTGTAGAAACAGACTTTTCCCGCTGACCTTCTAAGTTGCCTTTGGCGTTCATGGGTTGAGAAGTTTGGAAACCTCAACAGCTGCCTGCAATTCAGTCCTCTGAGGCCTGCTCCAGGGTCACTGCGGCTTTCGCACCCACATAGAACTGTGCTCCTTTCCCCCACCAGGCGCAATATACCTTTCTGATCAACCATTCAGGTTATCTTGGGCTGGAAATTTGTTTCACTCTGTCTTTTTGTGGGTTCTACTGCTTTAGAATTTGTTCAGAGCCATTTTTTTATAGGTATTTGGAGGGGTTTGGGGGAGAGCTCAAGCAAGTCACTGCTTTCCCTCTGCTGTCTTGGCTCCGCCCCCTCTCCCCTATGCTTTTAAAAAAAAAAGAAAGAAAAGGAAAAGCAAAATCCTTGTAACAAATATGCATCTGACTTCGTTAAATAACAATAATAATAATAATGATAGTTGATGTTTATGCTTTTAAGGTTTGCAAAGTACTTCAATCGATCCTTACCACATATCTACGAGGTAGGAGTTGCTATTATTTTTGTTTTACAGATGAGGAAACTGAAGTTCATAAAAGTTTGGTGATTTGCCCAGAGCTATACAGCTAGTAAGTGTCTGAAGCAGCTGGATTTGAATCCATGTCTCCCTGACTCCTCTTCACTCTTTTCATCCCAGGCTGCTTCTCAGGGGTCTCAACACTCACTCAGTCTCTTAGGTTAGAATTCTTGTTACTCTTTTTTTACTTTTTTCTCCCTCATCACTCATGCAATCCATTTACCAAGCCTTGTGAAATTGCTCTTGCATGTTATCTCTCACATATGCCCTGTTTCTATTGCCACCATTCGGATTTAGGCTGTCATTAACCCTACCTGGACTCTTAAGACTAGCCTCCTAATAGTTCTTCCCATTTCTACTCTCTATGTCCCTCAAACCCTCTTTCACACTGTGGCCAGATTTCTCTTCTTTATGCATTTTGTAAGCAAGTTCACATCATTCCTTTGCTTATAAGTCTTCAATTGCCACCTAAGTCAAGACTTGGTAGTCAAAGGCCTCCACAGTTTGGCACTGCCCTACTTCCTTGTGGAATCTGTCTTCCATATTATTGAAGTTATTCTCTTTCAGGTCTTCCGCCTTCCAAACCACCATGAACTACTTCCTGTCCCCTTTATGAACCCACACTTTCTTACCTTTGTTCCTTTGTCCCCGTTTCTAGAATTGCTATTCTGCTATTGAGTTCTACTATGTTCTGTAAAAACCAACTTAACAATGACTTCCTCCATGAAGTCTTCTGAACTTTTATTCAGTTGGCCCCTCCCTTGAATAATAACCATTCCTCCCATGTACTCACATAGCACTTTGCATTTATTATGTGTTATATTTTATCTCAAATGATATAATATATAAAGTTCTTTGTAAACTTTAAGTGTCACATAAGTGTCAATTTTCTTTTCTATCTTTTTTTTTTTAATTAGATCTGTGATTTCATTAGCATAGGAAACTCCTGGTTTGAGGAAATTCCATCTACCAATACAAATCAGGAACTGCTCTGAAATTTAGTTGCCCAGAGAACCAAGAGGTTATGTGACTTGCCCAGGAACACACAATTAGTACGTGTCTCAGGCAGGACTTGAACCCAGGTCTGTTCTCTCCACTTTTCCAGATGCTTCTCTGTTGAGAGGCTTGAAGAGAGAAAATATGGTTTGGAATATTTTCTATGTAGAGTAGGATGTGGTCAAAAAATAGCTTTAGGAAGGTGAGACAGAGGGAGAGATAGAATGATAAGAGGTAGGTAGAAGAATATAAACATTTTTTATTGTGGAAATGGAACCCTTAAGGGTAATGGTGAGATCCCAAGTATAACTACCCCTTGAACATGGTGGGGGTGGAATGGAGAAATAGTCAATGAGATTTATACTGTTACATTCAGAAGAATGTTTAATGAGTATGCATAAGAAAATAATAATGTTAGTTTATGTTTACATAGTACTTTAAGTTTTACAAAATGCTTTCACAAACATCTCATTTGTTCAAATATTCCTGTAGTCAAAAAAAATTACTTCTCATATTTCAGTGGCGAAAATGGTATTCCCTGGGCCTACCATTCAGCTTCTTTTCAATAGATTGTGGCTTATTTGGAAGCTTTCATTATGTCACTTTTAGCTTATTAAGTGACTTTAAATTTGTGGTCTGTGTGTGTTCCCATCAGTAGGTACTAAAAGGATATAGTAAAATCTCAAATAACCAAGATCCAATTAACCAGAATTCTCAATTAACCTAATTTTTTACAGAACTGGTCTACTTGTTATAAATCCAATGTTTCTAAAAAGTTAACATTCAGAATTTATTCATTTCCTCACCCCTGCAAACAAAACAAAAAAATAACACATAATCTACAATTGGAACACACACACACACACACACACACACACACGCACACTTCAATCAGAATCAGAATGTCCCAGAAGCAGTACACATTCAGCTCAGTCTCCCAGACCTTTTCTATCTGTAATGAGAATTGATGTTTAGGACTATCATACTAAAACCCTGCAAGCACTTTATCAGAGAGAAGTTCAGTAATGTTCCCTGAAGACTGGATTTAAGTGAAACAAGTAAATCAGCTCGGATGTACTAACAACATTTACATCAAGGGTGGGTTGAAAAAGGCGTTTTTTGTTAATCTTGAATTAACCAGAAAATTCATTTCGCCAGATTCACACATTTCAGTAGGGTTTCAGTTGTTTGGGGTTTTGTTGTGTTTAAGGCCAATTTAGTGGAGAAGAATTTTGTTTGCTTTCCTTGGCCCAGTCCAACTCTTTTTGTTTCTGTTTTTAAATTTTAAAGACTGCGTCTTTTTTCTCTTGCCCTGTCTGGAAGGGCAGGAAGTACAGGGACTTCTTATGGACAGGATTCCACTGTGATCAACATGGGAGCTTTGACCCATTCCATTTCTGACTTGGGCCAGTTTGCCCCTCCTTAGGTAACCTCATGGCCCCTTTCTCCTGAAGGATCACCATATGTATTAATATGAACTTAACTCAGACACCCTATCAGCACAGCCCTCTGCAGCCCAGAACTCCCAAATTCAAGAGATCTGCCAACATTGTCCTCCCTGTTAACAGGGATTACAGGCATACGCTATCATAAATTCTTACTGGGTACCCTACCCCATCCTTTGTGTTTAAAAAACCAATTGAAAAAAGGAAAATCTAACTTCCACTGACTTCAGGAATTCATATCCTGTCAGAACTCATGTTGAACACCGTGTCTTGACTTTCTAAGCCCTTGGCATCGGCTTGGTGGAGAACCACCTGGCCTGGCATAAATCTGCTCTCTTTGTTTAGAAGCGTTTCACAGGACCTTTAGGACCTTCTCCTAAATCAGAGAGGAGAGTTTTCCTGACATTGGTTTCTCTTATTTCAATTAAAGAGTTATTTATGGATAACGGTTTGGTTATGTACCTCTTCTCCTAATGGGTGAAGGCATTTGTTCGTGCCCCTTAAGAATGTGATTGCTATTGAATAGTTGAGTGATCTCTTTAGCAAATGCATGCAACTTGTTGATACCTACCTTCTTTCAATTCCACAAGTTCTATAGAGGATCCACCTGACTTCCGCCAAGTCCTTGGAGATCCTTAGGTATGCTATTTTAAGCATATTCATCACTTCTATATTCTGATATTGTGGAAAGAACACTGGACTAAGAGTTGGGGCCCTCAGGTTTTACTCTCCCTTTTGCCATTTTCTGACCTTGGGTAAATCACTTCACTTCTCTGAGGTCATTTTCTTCAATTGTAAAATGAGGCGATTACCCTAGAAGACAATTTAGTAAAAACAAAAAGGTTAGTATGCAGCACACTGTGATTTTATCATATGCTGGGGTTAGGCAGTCAGCCCCTAAAGCAGTAATCCTTCGTAGTCAAAATTAGCTTCCTTCCAATGCCTTCAATCTCATGAAGTTTAGGAGTTTAAATGGCAGTCTTATCCAACTGTAGCTAGATGAGACCTTGTTACTTATCATTTGAGGATGAGAAGGGTAAATCAGTGGTTGAGGCTCTTCTTGTGGGTTGTCCCAGTTCCAGGGGACTTGAGGGTGAGGCTCAAGAAACATGGCCTGTGGATGACATATCTCCCAGTGCCACCAGATGGTTTTGTGCTTCCATTGCTGTATGCAAATCTAGTTTTTCTTTTTATTTTTCTTTCTTTGTTGTTTAATGCATGTAGTTGAGCTTACTTAAGGGCATTTGTGATATAACTCTGTGATGTTGTCTCTTTCACTTTTTATTCTTCGTTAGAGTAGATTGCAGTTGCTCCATTCATTTCCAACCTTGTGATCATCATGTTTTATAGCAAGGAAATAAACAGGAGACTGTTTAAACTAGAGTATTTCTAATGATCAATCTGGACCTGGTTTCTTTGGGAAACTAAAGTCTTATTGCACATCCTGTTACTTCTGTTCCCCACCCCCTTTCCTAGAATAACCCTTCTGCAGTTATTCCTAGCAATTATTTGTAACCATAAATCTATTACTGATGAGAGAAATCATTGTGAGTGGCTTTTAAAAAATATAGCTGTTGTGCCCATATGTTATGATGCACTTCTAGCTTCTGTTTTGTTAGCAGGGGCTAACCACTAGACTGGGAAGTCAGGGAGTGAGTTCCCATTTTGAGCTTACTCACTGAGGATTGGGTAACCTTGGGCAAATCACTTACCCTTTCTGGATAGAATTTTAACAAATGATTAATGGAAATAAGACCATTGAACCCCAAGGGGTAGTGCTAGGATGAATAAGTGCAATGATTGTAACTGTTATCATGATTCACCAAGTACAGCATAAATGCTTAATGATTTTGTCCTTATAAGCCCTTAAGTGAGAGCTGCTAAGACTTTTAACTTGAGCATTTAAACAGTTGCTTTTTTTTTTCTTGGTACAGGTGTTATTTGAACTTGCTCGGTATCATGCCCCTTCGACGATCTTTCTGGATGAACTGGAGTCAGTAATGAGTCAGAGAGGCACTGCTCTGGGGTGAGTGAAGATTTGGCTTTTGTTACACAATAACATATTTTTGTTGTCATTTTTTCCCCTCTTGTGTGTCTGATGATCAGAAACCCATCAACATTTACCAGAAGAATGAGCCCATTAATAAGCCAACACATTTTCAGCAAACAGATGGAAAGTCCTTTAAATTAGATCTTGTTAACTGAATAGATGCTCTAAATAGTTTCTTTGACTGGCAAAAATTTATCCTCCGCCAGGAGTGGTTTTCAGGACTGAAGATCATCCAGGCCCAATGTACTATGCTGCCAGCATCATCTTGCTGGCATGAATGAGTTGGACGTAGCAGCTTTCTCTGGATCCAAGGACTGTCTCTCAGCCACAGAGCTGGGCAGGCACTAAAGAAGAGGTCAGATTTATATTCCACACCCTCACAAAGCCCTCTCTAGAGAAAGTCCTTTTTGCTATGCTAGGCCAGGCGAACAACCTTAGTTCTCTGTAACATCAGATCAGGTATGCAGCATATCTAAACCAATATCTTACATGCTGTGGCCAAAGATTCAGTACTTCCTAACATTACCAGCAACAAAGAACAGCTATCCAGCCTGTGAATTATTCTCCTTTTTTTCTGAAAGATACTTTATTTTTTGGTTTTATGCCTTGATCAGAGTTGTTTCAAGGCATTATAGAATCTTACAGTTAGAAGGAGGCCGTCTTGTCCAACCTGGAATCTCGGACTTGGCGTGGATGCCAGAGGTCATCTAGTCCAACCTGTATTTGAATAGGCATCCCCTCTATAGCATTACTGACAGCAGCTTCTTGATTTACCTCCAGAGGCAGGGAACCCACTAACTCCCAGGCAGTATGGGTAGCTTTTGGACAATTTTTACTGTTGGAAAACTGTTGGCAGTTTTTCTTACATCAAACAATTCTACTTCTTTATAATTTCTATCTGTTCCTAGTTGAGTCCTCTGGGGCCAAACAAAACAAATCTAGTTTCTTTTCTACATGATGGCTTCTTCAGATACTTGAAGATGGCTGTCGTGTCTCCTGTCCCATTCCCAAATCTACTCTTTTCTGTATGAAATAGCTATAACTGGTCCTTACATGGTATAGTCTAGATCCCTCAACTTCCCATTTGTCCTTCTTCAGATGCGTTCCATCTTGTCATTGTCCTATAAAATTTTGAATTGTACTGGAAAAAAAAATTTTAAGTGGTATCTTTTTTCCCAGATATTTTGTTTTTTTCCAATGACATATAAAAACAATTTTAATTTTTTTAAAAAAAATTTTGAGTTCCAGTTTCTTTCCCTCCTTCCCCTCTCTCCTCTGTTAAGTGATATCTTTTAAGAAACTCCGTCCAATTAGCGGATAAGCAATTCCCGGAGACAATATGGATCCATGCTGTGTTGCTGTACAAACTTTCTTACTCCCTTTGCCATCCTCTATACAGAATCATAGAGCTGGAGCTGGAAGAGACTTTAAAGGCCATCTTCTCCATCTTTATCACTTTACAGATAAGAAGAGTAGGTGACTTGCCATGGGTCATAGTTAGGAAAGGGTGGAGTTTCCACCTTTAGGGAAAGAAAAGGAAAGTTCTACTGTCCTCCAAAGTTGTTGTCCAGGGGCAGCTAGGTGGCGCAGTGGATAGAGCACCAGCCCTGAAGTCAGGAGGACCTGAGTTCAAATCTGGCCTCAGACCAAACACTTGACACTTAGTAGCTGTGTGACCCTGGGCAAGTCGCTTAACCCCAATTGCCTAAAAAAAAAAAAAGTTGTTGTTCAGTTGTTTCTGACTCTCTGTGACTGCATTTGAGGTTTTCTTGGTAAAGATATTGGAATGATTTGCTGTTTCCTTCTCCAACTCATTTGACAAATGAGGGTCCTGAGGCAAACAGGGTTAAGTGACTTGCCCATAGTTACACATCTAGTAAGTGTCTGAGGCTGGATTTGAACTCAGGTCTTCCTGACTCCAGGCTCAACACTCTATGCACTGTGCCACCTAACTGTCCTCAAAAGACAAGAATTTAAATGCTCATCCTTTTAGTTGAGTCTAAAGAAACAAAGTGAAAACAAATGGCTGAGCAACTTTCTGATGATTTGGTTAATGCAGGTAGCCAATATGAGTTATCCAAGTCTACAAAAAGAGTTTTTTTCCCTTATTGGCAGTGGTTTTTGGAGGAAAGGACAGGGGTACAGAAAGTACAGAAAACCATTCTGACTGCATATGGGGTAGGCTTTACCTTCATTATACTTATATTGGTTCTTCCATCAGAAGCATGGAAAACAGCTTCAGTTTGGCTATTAATGTATCTTCTTATGACAATTTCAGATCCCTAAAATAGGCAGCCTGTGTACATTGGCTTATAAAGAGACTATATAATACATGTATTGCTGCAGATGGACACAGCTTCATTGCCTTTAATCCACCAATAACACCAATAACACCCTTGTCTTCTGCTGTTTCCTAGTTTACTGCCAATCCTCGATTTGATGGCTTTTTCTGTTAAATACCACCATTAGCATTCACTCATTTCCATTCTGTTAATCTTTATGCCAAGATTAAACTAAGTCATATGTTTTTTGTTTTCGTTTTTTTGGCTTCAGTATCAGTGGCTTCTTAGTGCAGTGAAATGAAGGGGGAATTTGACATAATGGATGAGTGTTAGCTAGTATAACTTAATCATGGTTTGTAGTTGGAAAGAATTTGAAATAGTGACTAGGAGTTAGTTACTGTGAGTTACACTGTTAGAAATGAAAGTGATGGTTCCCCATCAATTTGGAAATTCATGCTTTTTTTCTTCTTGGTAGGGGAGAGCATGAAGGAAGTCTTCGGATGAAAACAGAATTACTAATGCAGATGGATGGGTTGGCCCGATCTGAAGACCTTGTCTTTGTTTTAGCAGCTTCCAATCAGCCATGGTAAGAGACGAGGATGGTGCATTTTGAATACATTTGTCTGAGCCTGTAAGCACAGATAAAGATTTCATCCAGAGAACTTAGGGAAAAGCTTTTATATTTGGTTAAAGCATTTGAAGATTAATTTGAAGCTTTCCTGTTAGGCTCTGCAATTCTTACTACTTGTACCTAGTAAGAATCATCCTTAATAAAGAAAACATATGTTAGCACTACCATATGCTAATATTTTAAATGAACTACTTCCATTTTAAAGTCAAATTTTTTCAAAAAATGACATGTAAGCCACACATAGATTTGACATAGATCTATAAAGTGCTTAAAAATCTCCAGGGCTCAAAGAGTATTCCTGAAGTGGTGTGGTTAGATTTAATGGGCATATTTTTTTAAAGTTAAGAAGAAAATCTTTGCTTAAATGAGAGCACAGTAAGTAGAAAAATAAATATTCTCTAATTGAATACATAATCCACCATTAGAATTCTGGTTTTAGGGTCAATCAAATAGTAAATAGACTGAACTAAAAGACCCGGAGAAGTGACAGTGATTTCTCTGGTCTCATGCCTGATTCATGGCAGAGACTGGATTAGGCCCCAGATCTCCAAATTTCTTACTCCATTGCTCTTCATCCATTTCACCTACAACAATATATATGTCAGGAAGGTGAAAATGGGAATAAGAACACCTGCCTTCATCAGAGTGACACAATCATCATATAGGATGATGGAAACTGTTTGGTACTTTATAAATTCAAAGACAGGTATGTGTCATAAGGAGTTAGTCATGTTCTCAAAGAGAATACACATAATATTCTTGATGCTTTTAGTGAGTAGAGTAATCATTGACCTTTCTGGAGCTGAGGAAGTTCTTTCAGGCTAGTGTCAAACCCTATTTGGAGCATTTTTCAGGGCAGGACACTCAGCTATCCCTTAGGGCTCTATTAACTTATTCATTCCACTCTGAAGAGGAAGAAATTGTGTCCCTTCTTCTGAGTAAAACCAAGCACAAGATGTCTGTCTATTTAGCCCTTTCCCTGACCTGCTGTATCAGGGAGTGGTAGGTAGAGAAAGGAGAAATAACATCTCATCTGGGTCATTTCATGTGAAAATAAGCAGAGGAATAATAAATATTTCAATTTTAATATTATCATTTAAGATAATAGGCAGGTTAGAAATATTTAGTGTTCACAATTAGGGGATAATTTGACCTGCCTCAATTGCTGAGCATCCAAGCCTAGGAATCCGGAGGGAAAAAAGGATATTTAACAGAGCCATTAAGGCAAATCCTATCTTTAGATGTCTACTTAACTCGATGGTAATTTGCCCAAATAATCAAAGTGTGAAGCAAGTTAAAGCTGACCTCTGCTCAACTGTTAGCAGTAGGTTTGCAGCTTCATGTATCCTCTGGGAAATCAAAGCCCCAGATTAAAAAAATCAGAAATTTGGAAGAAATAATGCAAGTAAAATGATTTGCATTGAAAGTAAAGTTGTCAGATTGCATGCTGTCTTGGGGAGGAAGATGGGGAGGAGGAAGGAGAAAAATTTTAAACTCAAAAGCTTATGGAAGTGATTGTTGATAATTCAAAATAAATTAATTAAAAATAAAAACCAAAAAAATTAAAAAAAAGAAAGTAAAGTTGTATTGTAAGTTGTCTTGAAGAAAAGAGTGAAAATAAAGCTTAAGTTAATTGATGGACTCCTGTCTCTTCCTTTGCCTGGCAACCTGTGTTTTTCACTCATATGTTTGTTCTCTACTCTGCCCAGATTGCATTAAATTTAGCTGCTGTGGAAAAGTAAAGTTTGAAGCCCTCTCTCCCCTTTGCTGTCTCTCCTTTATTATTTACTGTGGTATCTTTCTCATTGGAAGACATTCCTTTGTGATTGTGTAGCATGTGAGTGTCCGACATATGTGATCTCAGCTGAAAAAGATCAGTAACATGAACTACAGTTTTTCCCAGACTGAAGATACGTGTATTCTCCAAATTATGGGGATAGCTGAAGTTTCTAGGGTCATTTGCTTGTCCCTAACTCTGCATCTTGGTCTTATGTCTCACTTGTCACATTTGCTCCAAATTTTGATAGCACTTATCAAATAGCTACAGCTTGTATTGTTTCTTTTTCTCCCTTAATTTATTGCTTGAAATTGCTTCCCTCTGCCTATCTTCAATGTCCCGTATGGTAGAGTAACTACTTTTACCTACTATTACTATCATCAATTCATTTCAACTTAACTTAATTCAACAAGTAGGAAGGGATACTAGGCGCTGTCTTTGTTCAACCCTGTACCTAAATAAAAAAGCCTTCTACAACATCCTGATAAGCAGTCAACTAACCTTTGCTTGAGGACCTCTAGGAAGGAGGAACCCATTTCTTCCCAATGCAGATCATTCTGCAGGGATAGCTCTGATTGCCAAGATGGTTATAATTGTTTCATAAGAAGCTTGGGGTCAGTAAAAGTTTGCTGTTTCCCAAATGGAATCCAACCCACCCTCCTTCTCCTGTTCAACTCAGGACCCAGCTTGTTGTCCCTCTCTACTGTCTGTCCCAGATATGCGTACTGTTGGGTGAGCTCTATAGGTCATTCATCCAAATGCATGTTGACATACAGACAATTCTTCACCCGCTTGGTATTTCCTGAATGGATCGACAAGTTAAACTCAGGCAGCTATGCAGTGTTCTAAGGCTTAGTGCAGTTAGAACAATGTCATCCACAAACAGGAGGAGCCAGAGGATCTCACAATTCACAGGGAATCTCTCTTTGACCTGTACTCCATGATGGAGCATCGCCATAATCAGCCTTGAATGCCCTTGGGATTACTTTGTTTGGCTGGATACCTTGCCAAGTTTTCTTTAAACTGGTTTCACCTTCTACTGCTTTGAGACAATATATCCATAATCATCCATCTTAAGATTTTGTAAGTGAGTTTATATTCTAACCTGGCCATTTTTCTCTGACAAAGAAATCAGTTATTTCCTGAATAAGTCATTTTTCTGAACTCTTTCGGCTTTCTTGTTGGGTCAATTAATTTATACTAACTAATTACTCTGGATGAAATTATTAGAGTTGGCGTTGATAGCAGTTCTGCAGTCTACTTATCATTTTTGATTTTCAGTTACTTGTTTAAGTAATTTAGGGTTGTTTCAATTTACAGGATCTTTTTCTAATTTTCCTTGTTTTTTTTTTTAAATGATTCTGTTCTTAGCTCTAAGGAGTTGATGGTCTGACTATATACAGACAGATGACTCACATAAGTCTCATGTGAAAAGCAAATCTTTTCCCATCTATTAAAATATAATGTTTCATTCTCTGGTATATTATTTGATGTTGCCGTGTCTGGTGGCCACCAATTCTTTTTTTCAAAGTAAATGTTCATGATAAATAGGCATGAGGCCTCTGTGTAATCTATAAGTTTTTGATTTCTTTCATTCCTCCTTCCTCTTTCCCATATGTTTCTCCTCACCCTTGCCATTTCCCACCTTTGTACTGAAGTAACTAAGTATCAGAGTATATGATGATTTAATTTGTATGGTCTTATCAAATTTCTTTGTAGAATTACCTTATTACATTATCTTCAGGAACTGATGTTGATATCTACATTGCAATTATTTTCATGGTGGTCTTTTTGTAATAATTATCATTAATACTATAATATGTAATGGCCAGATGTCCCATAAAATAATGTTTCTTTTTTTCCTCTGATGTATAATAAAAAACTACTTTATTTTCTTCTTCCAGGAGTATCTGTAAGCCATTCTTCCATTTAGCTACAGTTTCCTTCATTCTTCTGATTTTATTTATAGCAAGAATTTCAAGATTGATATGCTTCAGCCCCTCTATCAATTCAACAGTCTATTTATGCCTTGGTCACTGGACAAAGATCTCACATGTAGAATATTACAAGTCAAATTGAAAATTGTTGATATTTTTAAAACAGCATGATTCTTAGCATCCTCTGCATCCTTTGCCTCTTATCACTGTTCTTTCTAAAATGTGGCATGCAGAATTGAGTGTAATCTTCCTGATATCATCTGACCAAACCAGAGCATAGCAGTATTATCAACTCCCTCATTATAGACATTGTATCTCTTTTAATGTGACCTAAAATCACATTTTTTTAAAGTTTTATGGATGCATTTGTTTTTACGTAACAGTCAATTTCAGATATATTCTTCCCTAACCTTCCCCACCATAAACTTTGCATTGTGAAAAAAGAATAAAAACAGTTAAGCATGACCAACAGATACAGCTACCTTGTCTAACTGCTTATGCAACTTTCTACCCCCCGACTTTCCAATGAAAGGACAGAGGTGCATTTTCCCATCTCCGAAGTCAAGATTAGTCATTATAATTACACAGTATTGGGCTTTGTTTTATTTTTCTTTTCATTTATGTCATTGTTTATATTGTTTTAGCAGTTCTGTTTGCTTTACTTTGCATCAGGCCATACAAGTCTTCTCATGTTTCTCCGAATTTTACATATTTGTCATTTCTTGCAGTACAATCATATTTCATAATATTCAGATACTACAATTTGTTCAACCATACCACAATTGATGAGCAGCTACTTTGTGTCCAGTTGTTTGCTACCCGAAGAAATGCCACTGTTACTCCTTTGGCTGGTGTAGTCCCATTTGCTTTTGGTTGTCATGTCAAACACTGCAGACCCATCTTGCATTTTCTCACATGGAATCTTCTCTTATGCATAAGGGACACTGATGAAGACATGGGAGACATTCATTGCTCTGAATGGGACAGATGCACATTTGACAGTCATGTAATATTTAGGAAGTTGTTAGTCCTTGCCGCTCCCAAAACTCCTGTAGTCTCTGCATCTAGAACAGTTTTATTCACCACTCTGTATTTTTCCCACAATCCCACTAGCACACATCCTAAGCCCAATTCAGCTGTGATGGGTACCTGTGGAAATATTATACACAGTTAGGACATTCACAGAAAGTCACCTCACCTTTTTTTTTGCCCATATTTCTCTCTCCAGTTACCCCATAACC